TGTCTTGTTTGCCACTGACGGTTTACCGCGTGGGTTTTGTTTGCCAGAAAGAGAAAATGGTGTTCATGTGTTCTTGAAAGAAAGGTCTTGTTTGATCTGAAAGTTTGCACTAAGTTTCATGTTTTTGTGTTTGTTCTCACTAGATCCTTGAAAATGGGTGCCCAGGTCCATGTTTTTGAACTCATAGCATGAAATCCCAGATCTTTGTAATAGCAAATCACGATCTTTGCACATCTCTCTCGTGTTCTTGTTCTTCATGTCCATCATGTTCTTCAGAAAAGGGAAACCCAGATTTTCCTGACTTCATTCCTTTGAGTGTGGCCATCGAGGCCACACCTCGGCCAGGGGATGTGGAACCTCGGCCTAGACCTGGTAGTTGCCCAGCATGTTTTCCCGAGATCACCTGCATGCATGTGAAACTAGTTTGAAAGTGTATTCAACAGACTTTGTCATGTGTTTGTAGGATTTGGACTTGCCTTGACCCCGACGTTGAAGAACTAAGTGAGTGGTATTTTTAATAAAGCTATGTTATAATGCTTTGATGAAAGTTTCGTTTTGCTTCGTTTTGAAAAGTATTTGTAAGCATGAATGGTTATTCCTAGTTGGGAAATATATTTGTATTATCTTGTTTTGATGACATTTTTGGGAAGTCCGTACGTGCTAAGGGACTATAAGCATTTGTAGCACAAAGTTTGGAAGTCCGTACGTGCTAAAGGACTATAAGCATTTGTAGCACAAAGTTTGGAAGTCCGTACGTGCTAGGGGACTCTAAGCCTTAGTAGCACAAGTCCTTAGTGTCCGGGGACTATAATGCAACGACACCATTGAATTGAGATATCTCCCTTGTCTTGCCTTGTCTTGTCTTGTCTTGTTTGCCACTGACGGTTTACCGCGTGGGTTTTGTTTGCCAAGATGCCATCACTTGTATTATAATGATGTTAGTAAGCATCCTTTGAAACTTGACAGATTTGCTAGATGGACTTGGTCCATCCTTTGACTTGCACTAATTATGTTATGTATTGTTCAATAAAGATTTTGAATACCAGTCATGCAAACCCCTTTATTTCTTATACTATTCACTGAGTATCCAAGCTCACCCTCTCTATATATATGTAGGTGATGAGCAGGAAGGCGGTGACGCCTAGGTGTGACTCGCAAGCTTGTTTTGGGTTTTTGTTATGTCGGCCTAACTTGTATTCACGTCGGCAGTCTTGAAAATCATACTTCTCGGCTTATAATGCTTGTAATTTACACATGTCGGCTGAAGAAGTCTTTTGATGAAGATGTAAAATGTATTTTGTACTTTATTGTATTTGTATCCAAGTTGTAATATTATGTAAAGTTGTATGCCATTCCATGTAACTTACGCACTGCTCTTATGGACCACTTGTATTTTAAAATCATTGCTTCCGCACTTGTGAGCCCCATATATAATTGTACTCTGTTTGTGTGGGAATTTTGGAGGTTGGCCTTCGGTAATCCCAGATTACTGGCCATCACGGTACCAAACTAGTAGGGGCGGTTTGGGGTCGTGACAATATGGGCGTGGGTGTGCTAAGAAATCTGTGTGTGTGCTGAGAAATCTATGTGTGTGCATGAGAGTGGTGTGTTGGAATTCAAGGAAGTGTGCACGTGTGTAGACTGTGCAGTCCAATCGAGCGACCAAGTGGTGGCTCAAGCGGTTAAGCTATTTTTAGCATATTTTGAAAAATTACATCTTTGTCATACTTTCATCTTCATATGTTCCCAAGCATTCTTAGGCATAAATTATGACTCATTGAGGATTAATATGTTAATAAGCAGCATAAGTTAATTGATTATGAAGCAAAGTAAGAAATCAATTTATTTGAAAAGAAAGAGTAAGTAAAGTAAGAAAACGTGAAATAATAATTCAGTTTACTTGGGAAGAAAAGAATAAGAGAAGTTATATGTGATCAAGTGAATAATATTGTGTTTTGATATGTTCGTTTGTGTGTTCTGTGTAGGTGGTTATCTGAGGTCTGACACTTGTGCCAGCCCACTGTGAGTAATACTTTTGTAAAGGTATGTTATTAAAGTGTGTTTTGATTTACCGCAAGATCTTTATTTTGAAATATTATTTGATACAAATGAATGAATGTCTCTTTCGAAATGTAATTGTGACATTCTTAGTGTAGCCCTCGCCTGAGGATACCAATGCCATGTCCTACGACCTTGCTCAGGGAAAACAATACTGCAACCTATAACTCTTACCTGAGGGAAACAATATCCCGTCCCATTGTGATAGAAATCTCTGATGTAGACCCAAGGGGTTCCTATGTATATTAGACCTATATGGTCCCATCGTGCACTATTGGATGTACCACATATGAAAATAATTTGCGAATTTTGATATGATTCGAACGCATGTGATATGATTTTGTACAATGACATGATTTTGTAAAATGATAGACATCATTCATTTAACCTCTTTATATTGGTATTATTCACCGCGCTTTAGCTCACCCCTCTCCCTTATATATAATATATATGTAGGTGAGCAATTAGAAGATCAGCATTAGAGTTTGCCTCAGAGTCAGCCCTTGTCAAGCCATCCAAGATGCACCTCTGTGTCGAGGCTTTAATTTTGTTCTGTCGGAGTTTTATATTTTCATTAAGTCTTAAGTGTGTGTGAGATATGTATAAGATATGTCTTTGTATATGTAATATGAATGTTTTACTTATTTCAGTCTATCATGTACACACAGCTCAATGGACATTCTTATTTTTTTGTATTACACACAGCTCAATGCCCAATACTAATTAAATATTTTTGAAATTTTGTCTTTGAAGCCTAAGTACAGGCCGGTCATGGCCTAAACCCTTAGGAGTGGGTTTGGGTTGTGACAGTTTATCTATAACACACATATCCCCCATAGTCAATGATTGGTCCTCAATAGAGTTCATGATTAGATCTTTCTGTTGTTAGTAGTCTACTTGCGATTCTTATCATAAGGTAAACATTCAGGCAATTCAATTTCTCTAAGCTCTACAATCTAGTCATTTTTTATATCGGTTCGTAATTCTCTCGTAATTAAATTAAATCAGATAGAGGAGGTTCTTATTAACTTAAATCAGGTAAAGGCTGAATCACAACCAAATCAAATAATGGTTCTATTATATCAAATCAGATGAAGGTTCTATCCCATCAGTCTCAAACAAAATTTTGTTCCAAAGGTCACAATCAATTCGTTTAGGTAGACAATTGGCACTTTCACAAATGTTCTAAGTCCACTAGTTCTCACAATTATATTAAAGTCATGTCATAATGGTTCATATAATCTCAAGTCACATCAATAGGTATCATGTTATATTCAATATAGCAATGACCCCAAAATGCATATCATGATTATATTAATTTAATTATGTGTTTAATTTTCATTGTGATATGTGCTATGTGTGATTTCAATTGTGTTATTGTTAACAAATTTGAATTGAACTTGTCTGATTCAAATAAGTTCAATTCATATCCTATACACATCTGTTAACAATAACAAACTTCAAATCACACGTGGCACATATTAACACAAATAATTAATCAAGGGGGTGATTATCACATTTTATAATTAAGCAATATGTAAAATCAAAATAAGATGAAAACTAGTTATTCTATATCTTTTAATGATTTTTATTTTATGTTTAATTTTTATAAATTATTAAGGCACAAGTAAGGCATATGTTCAATATAAATGAACACTATATAAAAATAATAACTATAGCCATTCAAAAAATTTTAATAAAAAAGTTGTAAAATGTAAGGTGTAAATTCAAAGTTAGTATGATATTGACTGAAAAACCTAAGTCATTCGTGATTCGAAATAGATTTAATTGCGGTAATTCCTAAACACACAAAACTAACAATCTAAATCATTTAGTACGTACGAAAGTGATTTAGATTGTTATTTTATAATTAATAAATTGACACAAAAGATTTTAACTTGAAAAAAATCACAGTTGGAACACCTCCAATTGTAATAAAAAAAATACGAGCTAAAAGTCACTAATCAATCCACTATGAAGATAATGAAAATACACAAGAGTACAAACAATCACTCTACATGCTTAAGAATTGTCTTCCGTCTCTTGTACCTATTTCAACAACGCCTTTGTCTCGAAATTGATTAGCCTTGTGTTGAATCCACAACACCTAAATCGAGTCCACAATGATGAACTACTTTGAACTCCTTCAAAGCCTCAAAACTCAAATTTTCGAAACCCATTGATCAAATACTCTTGCAAAGTAGAATCAAAACAAACCTCCTTAATTTAAGCAATCTAATTCATGTGACGTGACCAATATCTCAAAAACATCAAGGGAAACAAGGGTAAGAACTCCAGAAGCACATACACTCTCCTAAGTTTTAGATTTGGAAGTCGCAATCCTAAAATCTGTAATTCGCACAGTTTTATAAGAAACAAGGTTGCGCAGACTGCTCGAGCGCAAGAAGGTTCTCTTGAATGGTGTGTCTCAAATGCGGAGAAACCATAAGTGCTTTTGCTCGAGCGACAGAAAGTTCGCTTGAGCGCAGAATCAAATCTCCCAATATTTTTGTAGACAAATCCAAACTACTGAGATATGCCATTCTTCGCTTAAGCCATCACTTCACTGCTCAAGCGGTCCAAGCGCAAACAGGGCACTAACTTTACAATTGAGATGTGCTTGTTTGCAAAATTAACAACACAAAGAGACCTAACATAGACTATGCACATATAGTCAATTTAATCTACACATTTAATTGTGAATAAATTTTTGAATAATTTTTTTGAATATGTAACAAAGTTGGTATAAAACAACACAATTCTCACTTACACTCATTTCGCCTCAATTAATCTATATTTATTTTCTCAAATTTTCATTCACATAATTTATTTTCTCAAATTTTCATTCACATAATATCATTCCTGTTTATTTATTTATTTAAAGAAGATAAGTGTTTTATTTATTATAAATAAGTGTAAATCATTTATAAGTGCTTCCCTCCACAACTATATCCGAACCAAATTCCCTCCTTCCTTCGTTTTCTTCTGTCACCCCTTTCTCTCTCTTCCCGCTTTTTTTAATCCTCTCCTCTCTCTCATCTTCTTCTCCTTCTCAAAATCAGATCTTACTCTTCTCTTCATCTTCCCCTCAATTCCTCCAATTCCAATTTTCCACTACAAATTTCTCATCTTCACCAATTCCAATTCCAATTCCTATTCCTATTCCTCTATCCCAAAACCCCACAAAAAGAGGGTTCGATCGATCTCTCAGTCGTTCAACCAATCGGTACTCTCTGAGTTCAGTCATGTCTACTTCACGAGCTTCGAATATGCCGACTGAGCCGATCATGCAACAGTCACAGCAACAGCCATTGAAGCGTCAGCTTCCATTCACGCCGATGAAGCCGCCTTTAGGAGACTACTACCGCTTTTCGCCCTCAGTTGTCGATAACAGACAGAAGGAACCTGACGCAATCGTGTTCAAATCTCCCGTGAGTATATATATATAGAAAAATGATATACAAGTCCCTTTTTAGACCCATTTTGTACACTGTCAAGAAGTTGATTTGTTGATAATTAGAGAATATTTAATTATCAACCAATCATCTTTTTGAGTCTAGAAATGGGTCTAATTTTTGTGTCTGAATAGCAATGCTAATATATATATATATACACACACATATATGTACATCTGATTGTGTTTTAGTTCTGATTTTTTTTTTTAAATTTTTTAATTTTTAAAGTGGGTTTGTGTAATTGTAGAATTTGGATGAAGATCTGATTGTTTGGTGCTTTAAGTTAGCCTTTTTGGGATGTTAGGATTTTTTGATATGGCATAGCTTTAGAATTATGTTGGTTAAGGAAGATTTGTTACGGGCAGTGGCGGAGTCAGAAAATTAAGTTAGAGAGGTACTTATTAATTACAATATTTTATTTAAAAAAACAATCATGATTAATATTAAAATAATAATAATTTATGAGCTAAATTTAAGTATAAGAAATTAAAAATCATTATTAATAGGAACAAATCAAAATTCTATAATAGTGTGTAATGGCTCGGCGTGGGATGGTGATGTAAGTTTGTAATTTTAGCACAAAAAAATATGGATCAAAATTCCTAATTTTAGAAAATAAAAACACATCATTTATAGCACAAATTATTATAAAATCTATTTAATTTTTATTTGATAGAAAAAATTAAAGAGATGATATTGCTTATAAATGATTTGTTTTGAATGGAAATTATTAAATAGTCTTAGAGTACCGTATGACATTGCCTATGTGATACTCAAAACATGAGAAATCACAAATCACACTAAGTAGTTTGTCAACTACTTGAAAATAATGAGTTAATTATATTCAATTCATACGACTTCTCATTACACTATTGGTTTAGACTACTGCATAAACAACACCACATAGTACTCCCAAAGTATTAAATAACTACTTATTGTGAACAATACAATAAATTCTTAGCCAAAGAACATGCTAAGAAAAAAAAAGAATACATTTTGTATATGACCACAAAACAAAAACAAAAACAAAAAAAGTATAAAATTGAGGGGGGGCACGTGATCCCCCTGGGCCTTCTTTGGCTCCACCCCTGGTTACGGGGTTTTATTTTAAACGGGACTCTGTGTGAGTTGTGATTTTTATATGGGTTTGTGGAATTGGAGAATTTGCATTAAGATCTGCTGATTTGGTGCTTCAAGTTAGTCTTTTTTTGGAATGTTTGGATTCGTTGAGATGGCATAGCTTTAGAATTATGTGGGTTAAGGAAGATTGGTTAGGGGGTTTGATGTATTGACTGTTTTGTTGATGAGGTGAGGACCGAGTTCATTGATGTGTGTGGTAGAGTTTTTAATGAAGTCACTGAGAGTTGCTATTGAAAATGCATCCTTCAAGGTGTGTTGATGATCGTTTGGTGCTTTATATCTTCCTTATGAGGCGAATACTCAGAAATTGGATCAATTTTGGAAGACTGTTCTAGATGTGAACATTTTTGCTTAAAGTAATTTTTATTAATGGAACTATGATTTTGTGTGATCTAAATGCTGTTTCAACTTAGATTTAAACAGCCGGGTTTAACAGAATTTGCAACTATGTCATGTTAAGAGCAAAGGTCAGTCTTGTCAGTTATGAAACTGATCATGATCTTGTTAAGAGGAAGATAATGATAATTGCCACATAAAGATTCAGGAGGGTTAAAATCATTCATTGATATCTTTAATATTTATCAAGAACTATGTAATGCATCTTGCTTGAGTGGTTGTGATAGCCTAGCACAAGGATGGCATGATGATATGACATGCTCTAATGATGTTGGAAGTTCAAATTATATGATAAAATCCATCGGATATATATATAGATAAGTACTGATATTTCGATATGAAATATTGGCAGCAGGAACCCATATGTTCATAAATGAGTTTTCATGGAATGGATGAGAGGAAAGAGTAGGAAAGAACTGTGAATAGAAAATTTGATGGATGGTAGGTACTTGACAATTAATTGGAGATATGGAGAAATGCTTCCAATGGCTTTTTATACTTTATTAATGAACTAGACAACTTTTTACTTGGGTATGACGTAAGTAGTTTAACTATCAGCATATATGTTGTTAAGAGGTTTTTTGTAGTTAAATTCTTAATTTTCTTTCTCATGCTAAGAGTTTTTCTGCTTATAAAATAAAAGCATAGACTTGAAATACTTGGTGTTAAGTTACGTAGTGAATGATAACAATGATCCCTTTTGCTTATGGTTGCAACACCACCCACCAAGTACCAATTCTAAATGTAGTTCATGATTATTGAAACAGCCTTAATGTGGAAGGCACTATAATGCTGGTATGTGACTTGGAGAAGTAATATGTATATGTGTTTATATTTATTTAATAGGATTACAAACTTGATCAGTAGAGTTTGTATAAAGTATGGATGTGTATGTGAGACCAAATTTTAAAGGGGAATGATTTTATAAAATATGGATGTGGTTGGTGTAACAACCCTCACCTTGCCTTAGTTATGCTCACATGCATTTATATGATTTTGTCTTGTCAAATTGCATTCATAAAATCCTGTTTTGTTTTATCTAAGTTTTGTTGCATGCTTTGTTCCTTGTTTGGTGTGTGATTAGCCGAGGTCATCTTAAGCCTAGGTCACACCCTTGAATCTCTTATACCTAGGACCATCTTGGAACCACTTTAGCTGACCTCCACCTTCACCCTGGCATATTGGCCGAGATGTCATCATCTAGGCCGAGGTGTGCATCACCGAGGCTGAGATATGTATCATCTAAGCCGAGATGTTATCCTTTAGGTATTAGAGATCTTTGATCCCTGCACCTGGTGATCTTGTTCCTGGACTGGTATGACCTAGACCGAGGTGTGACACATCTAGGCCGAGGTGTGGCATAGCTAGGCCAAATGTTATCCTTCCTAGCCGAGATCATTGAGACCTTACTTGCCGAAGCCTTGTCCCAATCTGAGGTCATTACCCGCCGGAGTGCCCTTGTTACCTTGCTTGTCATATACACTTTGTCATAGCCTTGTCTTTTCACTCAGTCACCTTTTTGAGGGGAGCCAACCGGTCGTTGCCACGTGTCCCAACAGAGGGTTTAGTCTGCTGGCAGTAGAGAAACCCACATCACTTTGTCATATCTTTGCCTTTGAAGAGAGAGAAGCTCTAGGAAGAGGAAGAGGAAGAGGAAGAGGAGTTCTTGAGAGAGAAGTAGGTTTCCAAGCTTGATCCTTAGAGTTTAAACCGTTTGATCCGAGTGTTGAGGTTAGATTCTTGATCTACTCTTGTTATTCTTTATATTGATTCGATCACATTGCATGATCTAGCATGATTCATGAGCCATGCATTGATTTAAAGCTTGTTTTAGAAGGAGAAAATGATGTTCTTGTGTTCTTGTAATAAAACTATGTTTTGATCCGAAAGTTTGTATCAAGATCCATGTTTTTTTGTTTGTTTTCTTAAGATCTTCAAGTATGGGTACCAAGGTCAATGTTTTTGAACTCATAGCATGAAATCTCAGATTTTGAATAAAGAAGTTATGATTTTAGCATTCATGTTCTTTATGTTCTTCATGTTCATGTTCTTCATGTGCTTCAAGGAAGGAAATCCAGATTTCCAGACTTCACCTTTCCCTAGGTGTGGTCACCAAGACCACTCTTGCCTAGATCTCACTCTTAGGCCAAGCATCGTATTTCACTTTGGCCTACCTTGCATGATCACTTGCACCATTAGTCTATCTTGCATGAACACCTCGGCAGACAGCCGTTCGCCGAAGCCTTGGTAACCACACCTCGGCCAAGAGGTGTGGGACCTCGGCAAAGACCTAGTTGGTACCCAACATGTTTTTTCCGAGATGAAAAACAGTGTTTTAACTTTCAGCATGTTTTGCTTTGACTTGACCTAGTCTTGAAGGAAATGCCGGGATCATTTGCATTCATGTAAGGCTTGTCTTGAGAGTACGTTTCATATCCATCTTTGAGCATTCTTTCTTGTCCCCTTGAAGTGCATTCAGTAGACTTTGCCATGTGTTTGTAGAACTTGGACCCCTTGTTTTAACCCCGACGTCTGAAGAGCTATGTGAGTGGTATTTTTAATAAAGTTATGTTATAAAGTCTTGATAAAGTCTTGATTCGTTTTGGAAAAGTATTTGTTCAAGCATGAATGATTGTCCCTAGTTTTGTATCACGTATTATATTTGTTTTGATGACATTCCGGGAAAGTCCTTAGTGCCAGGGGACTATAATTCAACTGCACCCTTGTTTTGCCATTGACGGTTTTCCGCGTGGGTTTGTTTGTTCGGAATGTCATCCTTTGGTATTATGTAGATGTTATTAACATCCAAGAAGCTTTGAAAGATTTGATAGATGAACTTGATTCATCCCTTTGATTTGTAAAGTTATGATATGTATTGTTTTGGAAAAGATCTCGGATATCATTCATTCAAACCTTTATTACTTATACCATTCACTGAGTATCCAAGCTCACCCTCTCCTTATATATATGTAGGTGTTGAGCAGGAAGGCGGTGACGCCTAGGTGTATTTTGCAAGCTTGTTTTGGATTCAAAATTTTGCTAGCATCTTGAAGATTATGCTTCTTGGCTTGTAGTTTATTTCTTTTGTTTATGTCGACTTGAGAAGCCTTTTGATCAAGATGTATTATGTATTTATTTTATTTGTATTCAAGTTGTAAAACCACGTTATGTATGTCATTTCATTTAATCTATGCACGGCTCTTATGGACTAATTAGATTGAATTTTATTGCTTCCGCACATGTAAACCCCATATGTATACTCTGATTGTGTGTGAATCCTTGTAAGTTGGCCTTTGGTAATCTCGGATTGCTGACCATCACGGCACCATTCTACTAGGGGCGGAGTGGGGTCGTGACAGTTGAAGGCTATGGATCATGGCTGAGGTCACTACATCTTATGGTGTGAGTTAATGGAAAGGTATTTGGAAGCAATGAGATGAGTTTCTAACATGTAGAAGATGGTGAAAAGGAGAGCTTTTTTTATGATATTTGGCGTGGTTGTATGACATTAAGGACAACCTTGTTTTTTATATTTATTTGGTAAGTAATAATTCATTGAAAAGAATCAAACAACATACAATATAGAACGGGGATACCTCTGAAAAGAAGGAAAACATAAGCAAGTTTCCTAACTGAATAGGAGACAATCCAGTTTACTTTTCCTTTATTACATGAGATTATAGTGGACAGATGTCCTTAGTGGTTGATTGTTGGATAGGGATGACAATGGTTTCATTTCGGTATGGTATTTTGATGAGCTTTACATCAAGTGATGCTGATGTTTTTTAAGGCCTTATACAGGCTGGACATTTGGGAGGTAGGGAAGACGAGATGTGTTGGCTCACATCTAAATCTTTGGCCTGGGGAATGGTCTATCTCCTTGGAAATCTATCTGTCATGTCCTTCCACTTTGGTCTACTTTTCTCTTCTTGAGGGTGGGCAATGGGGATAATGTTCACTTTTGGAAGGATGTTTGGGTAGGTGATTCTTCTTTTGATGTGGCCTTTTCTATATTTGTATAGAGTGGTGCGTTCTCATAATTCCTCCATTTCTTTGTTGGCATGTTCTCTTTTAGCTCCTATTTCTTGAAATTTTTATTTTTTGAGCAATCTTAATGATAGGGAAACCTGTGAGTTGGCTTCTTAGCTATCTCAGATTGACCATTTTTCTTTGAACCCAAATATGAGTGATAAAAGGGTTTGGTTCATTCATCCTTCAGGGGATTTTACAGGCAAGTCCTCATTTGAAAAAATCATTGATAAACCGAGTGTCTTCTTTTTCATCCTGTAAGGAAATTTGGAAATCTTGTGTGCTTCTCAAGGTGAAGATTTTTGTGGTTGTTGGCTCATGGAAGCATTTTGACGAATGATACCTTTCAAAAGAGGAGGCCCAATCGTGTTCTTCGTCCTCAATGGTGTATCGTGTGTAAAAAGGGCGAGGAATCGTTGAATCACCTTTTTTTACATTGCCATGTGGCGATGAGTTTGTGGCAATAGACTCTTCCATCTGATGGGGGTTTTGTGGGCGGCTCCAGTTGCAAGTTTTCATATGTTAATTAATTTTTGGGGATTTGGAGGGAAGAAAAAGGCAAAAGTGTTGTGGCTCTATATGGTATGCGCTATATTTTCAGTTACTTGGTTGGAAAAAATGCAAGGATTTTTTAAGACAAAATCCAGGATGTGGACTCTATGTGGGATAAAGTTGGTAGTTTGGCATCTTTTTGGGACTCGTATCTCCGCCGTTTAGAGGAATTTCTTTTTGTTTTTTGTTTTTTTGGTTGTTCTAGAGATTGGAGGGCTGTTTGTTTGTAGCACATAGCTATCTTGACGATGCTTGGTTTTTGTTGAGTTTGTTTTCTTAGTCAGGTATGTTTTGATCTTTGAGGACTCCTTGTCCTCCTATGTAAATCTATTTTTTCTTCAATAAAATTATTTATTTATTTATTTATTTGTTTTTAAAATTATTTATTTTCTCTTCAATAAAATTATTTCTTCCTCATACTGATTTTCATAGTATATTTAGCTGTCAAATGTTCTTTTTTTGAAAAAAAAATTAATTTTTCTATTTTTTTAAAATTTTTTTTATAGGTAACTACCAATACTATTAATCTCTCATTATGATTGTTGTATCATGGATGGAGCATTAAAACTCGTTTTTGTGTAACTGTTTTTCTCAGTCGAGCCTCACTGATAGTCTCATTAAAATTATGTTAGTTGTGCAGTTGTTTATGTTTTAAAGCCAATCAATATATCTGATTATCATGATAATATTATCATCTGATTGTACTTCAATTGATTTTTGATATAATCGCACAGTTAAATTTTCAAAGATATTGCTGATTTCTAATTTTAAAAATTAAATGGGTGTCTTTTAGCCACTAAAGAGGAAGAGTGAAACGGCAGATCATGAAGCTGAATCTAGTGATCGCAACCCCAGCACTGGATATGCTGAACCTATTAGCAGCCCTCTTCAAACACCTGTATCAGGAAAAAGGGGAAAGGCACAAAGAGCGCCAAGGATTGCAAAATGCAATAGAGCTGGATCCCAAACTCCTGTGGCAAATGTTGGTGAGTATTACCACCCACTTGAAGTCTTTATCTTGGGATTCAATATTGCCTGAATTGCTCACAAGTTGGGAACTTTTCACCCATACGGATTTTAAAAAAAATCTGAAATACATTTTTGAATTTGCAGGTTCTCCTTCAGGCAATAATCTCACTCCAGTTGGTCCTTGTCGCTATGATAGCTCCCTAGGTAACTAAATTATTGTTTACATGTTTATTTCTTGATTTTTATCTTCATATTTACTTTTTATTATTACTCGATATAAATTTTAAGTAATTTATTTTTTGGTAGTAAATGGACCTCGATTTCTTTTGCTATTGACTCCATGTTGTATACCTTGCCAAAGTAGAGTTAGTATGTGCCATAAGAATGACTGCTGACAATGTGTTGTGATTTTTCTTTAGGTCTGTTGACAAAAAAGTTCATCAATCTCATCAAACATGCTGAAAATGGTATTCTTGATCTAAATAAAGCTGCTGACACATTAGAGGTATCTATACTATCAAATCTGTGCATCATGTGTTTTGAAGGTTTATTCAATGGCTATTTGCTGGGTTTTGTTGTTACAGGTACAAAAGAGGCGGATATATGATATTACAAATGTTCTTGAAGGAATTGGTCTCATAGAGAAGAAGCTCAAGAATAGAATTCAATGGAAGTATGGATGTATTTCCTAATTGTTTATAAAATTCTTTGGCAGTTGCTTTATATTTCATTTTCTTTTTATAATTCTAAGAATCACCTCAGCACATTAGATGATACTCACTAAATGATTGTTTAATTAGGGGACTTGATGTGTCAAGGCCAGGGGAGATTGATGAGAATGTTGCTACCATACAGGTATGTTGAAGCTGGAAATTTATGAGCTTCTTGACATGCAGAAACTTCAGGGGCTTAGGTGCACAGTACCACTTTTTGAAAATGTGTGTGCATGTGTTTTACTTTCTTTCCATTTCTCTCTCTCTCTCTCTGTCTTCTTTGTTTTTTTTTTTTCCTTTCTTGGAGTATCACTATCCAAATCATCTGCACTGGTGGTTACATAGAATGGAACTTCTTAAGAGGAGCAAGGTTTGTGTGTGACATTCCCCTTGAAAACATCCCAGATATGTTCCTAATGTGTTCCACAGCTTCTAATGTAAATAGGGATTATATGCATTGCTGACACAAGTCAAGCATGTAGCAGTCACTTTTTAAAATGCATAAAGAATAATTTTTTTTGTTTGATCGCTAGCGAAAGGAATTTTATTAACTAAAAAGACAATAAGTACAGTAGAGGTAAAGCATAAAATCAGTAATCAAAATCAACCCAAAACAAAGCGAAAAAGTAAAATCTTGATTTGCACACAGCCTTCCAATCTTTGGATATCAAAAAGAGTGGGATCCCTCTAAATGAAGGTGACACTGAGGCCCAAAAGGATGCCAAACACCGAACTCTATCCCACATAGAATCCATGCTCCAACCACACCAAGCCACAATGCCTTTGCTCTCTTCCTACCCCCAAATCCACGAAATTCAATTAATGTAAGTATAAAATATAAGGGAGTGGTAGCAGTTAAATGCTGAGACTTGACTCATCTTTTCTTATATTATAACATTCTGTGGAAACATAGATATATAACCTGAAGGTAAATGTTTATCTCATGGAATGTATATATGAATATGTACATGCATATATGTATAATAGCGATTGGGCACATGCAATGCATGTGTGAACTTATGGAAAAAGATTAATATTAATACTAAAAAGATATATAGGAAAAGGAGTTTATGTGTTCTGGGAAATTTTAAAATATTAAAAAGATACATGGGGAAAGGAGTTGTGATAGGAAACGTTACCAAGTTAGGTGGTAAACGTCACATGCACGTAATAGAATGTTGTTGAGTGAACTGGGCAGTTTTAAAGCTGCTGAGGCATTATTCAATGATTTTAATGTTTGATCTTGTTAGTGAATTAAAGAAACATACAAATATATAGTAATTATTGTTTGACTATAGGGATAGTTTAGCGTATGGTAAAAGTCTGAAAGGCTTGAGACACCAAGTGGAGTGCTTCCTTTTAATAATAGTATAGACACATGACTCATATATTTATATTATTGTGTCTTTTAAGAGTCTGTGTTCTACTTTTTAGAATGTGTCTTTGTTCATCAAGTCCCTGGCCTGGTGAAGCAGGATTGGATAACTAGATAGCCAGCTTAAAACATTTGTTAAACATATATGGATATAGTCCACAAAATGACAAGTTGAAGTAACTCTGTTAGGACTTTGTTGGGTTGATTCTTTTTAGTTGTATGGAATAATACCATATTATGATGCATCATCTACAATCCATGTTACCCTGGTCAAAAGGTGAAAAATGAATCATGTTGGGTTTTGTCCTCATGGGTACTTTTTCCTCTGCAGGCAGAAGTTGAAAACCTTTCCATTGAGGAACACAAAGTAGATGAACAAATAAGGTCACACAGCAACACCTGTGCCAAGGCAACCATATCAATTTGTTTTTCTTCAAGCTTGGATTATGCTGATGCTTCTATACTTTGGTTTCTTGCAGAGAAATGCAGGAAAGGTTGAGAGAGCTGAGTGAAAATGAAAGAAATCAGAAGTAAAATCTTTTTCTGCCTTCACCTATATTGAAATTCAGTTATTAAAATTGTAGTTAGTCGGTATCATAGGAATACTTTTCTGAACTGTGGTTTCTCATTTTAGTTAATGCAAATGTATTGTCTTGTTTCTTCTTTTCTAGGTGGCTATTTGTCACTGAAGATGACATCAAAGGCTTACCTTGCTTCCAGGTTAATTTGTTTCCTGTACCATATAGTTCTTTCAAGTTTTTCTTTCTCGGTTTTATGGTGATGAGGCTATTTTTATCCCATGTCCTCTGCCTTTAGATTCTTCAGTTAACAATTTCTTAAACAAACTACTCGTTATTTTTGCCAGAATGAAACCCTGATAGCAATTAAAGCTCCACATGGCACGACACTCGAAGTCCCAGATCCGGATGAGGTAAGTTGAGATTGTTTTAGATTCAAGAATTATCCGAACATGCATATTCTTAAAATTCTCTTATTTACCAGGCTGTTGAATATCCTCAGAGGAGATACAGAATAGTGCTCAGGAGCACAATGGGCCCCATAGATGTTTACCTTGTCAGGTACTTTTCGCTGTGTATGCAAAACATTTATTTGTGGGAGTTTGCTATCTATTCTGTTTCCATCTTTTGGCAAGTCAAACCTTATGCACTTTTGACAGAAGTAAAGATGAGAGGCCATCTCTTGCTGACTGTTCTCATTGTTTTCGCGAATTGAATTGTGAATCGTAAGATTCACTTTATTTAGCATAATATATAATTTTATATATGTATATGATAATGCATATAAAAATACACATAATATTTAAATGAAATAAATATTAACACAAGTAAATTGTATGTATGTATATACATATAAAATCAAATATATCAATATTATTAATTGATCTCTTTTTTTATTTTGTAAAAACCATGTCTTTTTATGCATTATGCAAATAGGACTGAACTATACGAAATATCAATTGAACCGTACGATTCACTTAATTTAAGATTCAACAGAACAAATAGAATCTTTTCAGTTGAAACTTGTATCAAATTGTGAATCATAAGATTCTTACAACCATGATTGTTCTTACTTGTGTATATATGTACATAGATGCACTTAGATTTGTATTTTGTTTCAGTCAATTTGAGGAGAAGTTTGAGGAGATCAATGGTGATGAGGCATCCCCAAGTATTCCTTTGACATCAGGGTTTGATGGAAATCCAGCTGCACCAATGGTAACTGAAGAAAGCAGAAATGACACTGAAATGCAGGGTCAAGAAGATCATAGACTATGCTCTAATATAAATGCCTCACAAGACTTTGTGAGTGGGATCATGAAGATTGTCCCAGAAGTTGATGTGAGTACTAGAATTTAACCAATTATTAGTTGTTTTGGTTAGGAGGTACAAATTGCCAAGAAGCTTCTATTTGCACACCACACTTCTCAGTTCACACCTTTTTTTCGTTCAGATATCAAATTATTTATCAAACAAAAATAAATTGCTTGGATATCAACAATCAAACAAAAACCCAGTTCGGTTGTTGATATCTGAACGATTAATTTTTGTTTGGATGTTGATATCCAAACAATTGATTTTTGTTTGGCAGTTGATATATGACTACCAAATTGGTGTGAATTGAGAAAAAGGGTATTGTGCAAATAGAAGCTCCCAAATTGCCAATGGCAAGTCAAACTCAAAACTCATAATACTCTTAGAATAGCTTCATACCATCTGCCAAGAGCAACTATAACCAATGCTATTTAGAGAATAGTTATTGCCTTGCGTCTTTACCAAAAACCAGTAGCCAGAGTTTTCCTATCAGCGGTGGTCCAAGTCAATGGACGGTCTGCAAATTTGCTTACCTTGGGTCAGCAAATCAAAATAGAGAGAGAACATCATGATTTTGATATTTTTCTAAATATATATATATTTTTTGCTTCTGGTCTTTGCAGAGCGATGCAGATTACTGGCTTTTACCAGATGGCGATGTTAGCATTACAGACATGTGGACAGAGCGTATCCTATACTCTTGATTGGTTTTCCTTTTCTTTTCCTTTCATAATGTTCTCAAGCATGAATTTGTAATCCCTGACTCTTGAGCACAGCTGGGGTTGAATGGAATGAGTTTGGTACAATTCAAGATGACTATGCAATGGCTGATGTCAGCACACCTCATCCCCAAACTCCGCCTTCAAGCACAACAGAAGTGCCTTCTTCTGCTAACACCGCAGGCAGATGATGAGATTAGGTGATGAACTTAACTCACATACGCTCAGGCATGGTGTCAGTAGGTGACATTAGATCAAATCATCTCTGTAATACCCATTCAAGCCTAGAAAAGCTCGTGAGCAGTGCTACTTAATGGAAGAAAGGAAAAGAAGAAAACCTTGTGCGCAGAGCTGGATCGAGATGGGGAAAAAGGCAGGTGGCTTACTGTACAGTATAGTAAAAGATGTGCAGCATAGTAGGTTACCTGTGATAATTTGCTTGGATACTCTCCGTGATAGTAATGAATAAATAGGTTATATTGTTTTTCAAAGTTTGCCCCTGTATATTATTCCATTTCTTGGCTTTTATAAAATGATTAGCATGACAATGCAACTTTTTAGGTTGGCTCTGGGGAGTTATGAACTAGATCTAGTTTCATAGTTTGTGTACCTTCGTGTGATATGATATGCATCAGTTTCACATTATATATATATGTGTGTGTGTGTATTTTTTAAAAATTTAAAATTTTATTATTATTTTTTTTTTTACCATCTCAGGCAACCAACTTTTATGAGGACATATGATAGGCATCACAACTCATTTTCCTATAGTGGTGGTTGTGGTTGTTTTCTGAACTTGAATTGTGTCTGCGGTTTCTCCTTTATGAACACTAAAAATGAATAGGTTATAATAAGTAGATTGAGTTTGAATTTTAAGTTTGTGAAGAAAAAAAAAAAAAGCACAAGAAAAGTTTTGAACTGCCTAACGAGTTCTATAATGTCCTGAAAATAACGAAAACAGATACCCCCATAACTCTCAACAGATATGCGGAAGCTTACTATTATTCATTCATTGATTTCCATTAAGTATTACAAAATGTGTCACATGCATTAATACATTTATTAATCTTAGGATTTGAATCTATAACATGGAATTGATGTTGGATTTGTGATTGACGTTGATGAGGATGGCGGAGTTGGATATATATTATCACTTTCAAGATGGCGGAGTTGGATATGTATTATCGTTTCCATATTGAGATTTTGGAAAATATAACCTTATTGGAAATTTATGTATCTGTTTATAGATATCTGTTTTGGGTTATCGGTGGAAAAAAACTATGATTGTTGTAGAAATTGCATGAGAACTAAGAGAATTGAAACTATTTTTTCATTAATTTGCATGGGTATTGTTGCATATTTAACACATTTAAAGTGTTTATTGTTTTGAGAAAAAATGGTGAATACATTGGTGAACATGGGTAGGGGTGTGGTTACGGTATTATGTTGGCTTGTGTGTCCTTGGTGAAAGTCTAGAAACCCGCACGGTTAGGTGTCGAGCCTTCTGGTTAATATCAGTAGAAATGACAAAGTGGTAGTACTTGTATAGCCTGCTTGCAAACACGTATCTAGGGATTTCTAGAGTTGTATTCACAGTCTTGTTTTCTATTATAAAGAAAATTATTTCTTGAATTGTGATATAGATTTGGCATTGCATGGTTTTGAAGGGAGATACAAAATGTTTTTGACACGAGTATTGCATATGCATATACCTTATATCTTTGTTAAGATTCATAAACCTTTCTATTAGGCTTTGACTCACCCTATGTGGGAAAATCATTTTCAGGTGCTGATGATATGTCTCTACCAAGGCAATAGCTTGGGAGGAACTTCGAGCTGAAGGCTTCTTTTTGTATTAATTGTTGTATTTGATTTGTACAAGCCTAGGGTTTTAACCGTGTTGGATTTAAATCTATTTTGTTGTAATCAAACATTGTCTTGGAAAATTATGGCCATTAGGGCGTTATCTTATTTGTTTAATTTTCAATCCATTTCTCTATTAAGTGACATATGTTATAGATTCAGAATTAAGTTTGTGAATGTATATCTGCATATGTTACTCTTTTGGGCAAGCAATTGGAATTAATGGAAGAATTACATATATACATTGTCGTTATTTATTAATATTGTGGATATGGTCTATTGTAATTATTTCAGGGCGTGACAACTTGGTATTAGAGCTACCGAGTTTGAATATTTTGGGATGGTGAGATGCAGTTTTTACCACAATGGGTTATCTTACCAATAAGTATTAGGAATAACCTGGTATGCCATGTAATAACATGCTTATGTTACTAAGTGCGTATGGAGTTTAATTTCTAAGACATTGATTGGGTCTATGGGTTTCTAGAAGTGTTAGAAAAGCACTTGATCACTACTATTTCTTACTGGAACTCTAGCAGCGCTGTGGGACGATCATTATCTAGTAAGGAAATTCGTATGTGTTTATATGATTACGTGTTTATGTGGAATGGATTATCTGTTGTCCATCGCATTAGGACGCAAGTTAATTAGCTTTGGCACATTTGTAAATGTGCTTATCTCTTGTGTTACCTTCATTAAGATGTCAGGACATGGACATGATGGTGGTAGGCGTGGTAGGCCTAGACGACAGGAAGTGCCGTTACTAGATGAAATTTCGACATAGGAGGAAAGAATTAGTCAGGCCAATGTTACCGATCCAATTAGTCAGCAGGCCATGAGTGCTTTGGCCCGCGAAATGGTTGGAGCTTTGTGGGAATCCATGGACATTCTCAAGGTTGAGAATCAAGTCCAAGCCCATGTTGCTGAGATATAGCCGTCGTTCTTGAAGAGGGAGTTCTTTCGGTCTAATCTGGATGATTTTTTAGGGGATTCGAAAGAGCCTTTGAAAGTGGATGAATGGCTCGAGCAGATGATGAAGATGTTTAAGATGCTTGGCATTGAGAACGACGAGCTGATAGTGACTTTGGCATCCTTCTAGCTGAAGAGAGATGCGGGTTAGTGGTGAAAGTATGAGCATGGGTGCATTGTAGTGACTTGGGAGGCGTTTGTCAGCACTTTCCAAGACAAGTTCTTACCTTTCACTGCTAGGAAGAAATTGATGGAGCAGTTTTTGAAGCTCAAACAGTTGAACACACCAGTAGTTGAGTTTGAAGTAGCTTTTACTAGCCTTTCTGGATTTGCACCGGAACTTGTGAAGATAGAGGAATGCCTTCGCATTGAGTTTGACAAGAGGTTGTGGACCCGGCTTCTTTTCAAAGTGGTTGGGTCTATGATTAGGGACTACAGACGTCTTGTGGATGCGACATGTGATCTTGAGGCTGTGGTTTAGATTGAGGAGGAGCGGATGAGGGGCTCCAGACAGAGGAGTTAGGAGGTTCAGGGGGAGGCTCGGGATGGTAAGAGGCAGAGGGGTTCCACCCTATAGTAGTCCCAAGGAGCACAGTCTAGGTCCACTTTTCTTGTATTGAGTTCTGGGGCAAGGAGGGATCACTTGTTTCAAGTGTGGCCAGTTGGGTCACAAGTCTATAGTTTGCCCGCAGAAGGGAAGATGGCAACAGTCTGCACCGCTTGTGGCTCGTTCCCAAAGCCAGATTCAAGGGAGAGGGCAGCCACCTATCTATTATCAGTGTGGCCAATTAGGGCATGTGAAGAAGTTTTGCCCTCAGTCAGGTGACATATCTAGTGCGTCTGATCAGAGGCAAACACAGAGCCATCATCCTACACCATCGGCACAGGCCTCGAGGGCTAATCAAAGAGCCTCTTTGGCTTAGTTAGTGTATCAGGCTTATGCTCTGAGGGGTGAGCAGGTAGAGCAGAGACCTACAAGGCGTGTGTATGCTATTACCGCGCCAGATTTAGTGCCAGCGCCTTTAGTAGTGAGAGGTAACTTTTTGTTGTGTAATTCTATTGCCAATATGTTGAATAATACGGGTGCATATCATTCTTTTATGTCGTCTGCACTTGTATCGACATTAGGGTTAGAAGTGGCTCGGTTAACATCTCCACTCAGGATAGAGTCATCAATTGGTGGAGAGTTTGTGTTGGATCAGGGATGTAGGGGTTGTGAGATTGAGGTTGCCGGTTGTTGACTTCCTTTTGCATTTGTATTGATTGATATGTTGAGTTTTGATGCCATTTTGGACACGGATTGGTTGTCATCCTATCAGACTATTATAGACTGTTACCATCAGAGGGTTACTGTATGTACCTCGAGTGGTGATTGCTTTTATTTCTTGGGGAACCGAGTTGATAGAGCCATGTTACTAGTGTGTGATCTGTGTGGTCGGGGTGAGCTTGGTCTCCTACTTGCTACATTCTTGGGTGTTAAGAGTGATACAGTCCTAGTTGAGTTGCTGAGGGTAGTTTGTGAATACTCGAACGTCTTTCCTAAGGATCTCACTAGTTTACCACCTCACCATGAGATTGAGTTCTCTATCGATTTAGTGCCTAGCACGGCACCGTATAGATTTGCATCTGCTGAGTTGAGTGAGTTGAAGATTCAACTCCAAGGGTTATTAGATAAGGGTTTTATCCGCCCTAGTACTTCACCTTGGAGAGCACTAACTCTCTTTGCCAAGAAGAAAGAAGGCGTTTTGCGACTTTGTATTGATTACCAGAAGTTGAACCGGGTAACTATTAAGAACAACTACCCATTGCCTTGTATAGATGACCTGTTTGACTAGTTGAAGAGGTTTTGTTGCTTTTCTAAGATAGACTTGAGATTAGGTTATCACCAATTGAGAGTGAAGGAGGAGGATATCTAGAAAACGGCATTTTGTACGCGGTATGGCCATTATGAGTTCTTAGTGATGCCTTTGGGTTAACGAATGCACTCGCCTTGTTTATGGATCTGATGAATTGGATCTTTCGTGAGTTCTTAGACCGTTTTGTGGTTGTCTTTATTGATGACATCTTGATTTACTCACCCTCTGAGGAGGAGCACAAAGAACACTTGCGAGTTGTGCTCGAGTTGCTTAAAGCCCACAAGTTATATGCTAAGTTCGGGAAGTGTGAGTTCTGGTTGAAGGAAGTAAAATTCTTAGGTCATGTGGTATCCGGGAAAAGGGTGACTATAGATTCTTCTAAAATAGAAGCAGTACAAGATTGGAAACAACCTTAGAATGCCTTTGAGATTCATAGTGTGACAACCCTGTTCTATGATATACTATTAATTGTTAACTATACTTGTGATTATGTGCTTGGTGTGAATTTGCATGCTAATTATGTGATTAGATGTGATTTCGAACTTATATCTGTCCACCATAGAGAAATCTATTTACTTTTCTACTATAATTTGAAATTGAAGCCCGTAGAGGTTATAGAAATCGAAATTGACTGTGTTATTGAGATTTGTAATTTTTAGAGCCTACAATGAAATTTAATTAAAAGTTGATTCGGATTGAATTAATTAGATTAATTGATTAAATTAAGTACAATTAATTAGTTCTAATTAAGTTTGATTAGGGAAGTGTATAAATAGAAACTAAATGTGCTTAAGCTCAATAAATGAGCTCAAAATCTGAAAATATACACTCTAGAGAGAGAGTGAGCCAATTCTAGAAAGATGAAGAGAGCATCCTTGAGGATTTTGCAAGAAAATTCAAGTATTGGGAGAATTAACTCAAGAACTAGCTAGAATTTGGAAGATTAAAGCTTCTAGG